ATCCGTCGGTAACCAAATTAGCCTTATTCTTGTTAAGCGAGCTCCTAACGCTACCCGCACGAGAGGGAGGTGGAGCATTTCGGGCCATTATGGCAGCCTCCGCGTAATAATTGTTGTACCTCCAGGGGTCTGGAGGTGGTAGACGGCTCTCCAGGCTCCCATGGAGGACAACTCCTATTTCCCAAATATACGCAAGCATAGCCTATTTAAGAGTTAGAAGTCATCGCCGGAACTTGTATGATAGAATAGACCGTATAACAATAAAAAATCAGTAATTAGAAACTTACGTTCGAATTCCGCATCGCGGATGTCAATTCTCCCAGCACCTTGACTAGATAGCTTCGGTCTCCCTTCTCCACAGGAATGACCTCTCTCCCACTGACTTCGTGAACGGAGTCTTTGCCGCTTCTGTCTTGTACTCCTTCTAGCAAGGTGCTCTCTAGTATCTTTGGCCCTTGAACAGACCCGCTCGAATACGCCTCTATGCCCCAAGCGCTCATGAGAATCTTCATTGTATCTCTGAAGAAACCACCAGATCTAAACCTCTCCGTATCGTATTCGGCGCACACTGGTAGCATACTCAGAGCCTCCTTCCGTAAGACCTCTTCCTGGTCGTACTTGCTCTGTGAAGGAAGTGGAGCACTCCAACCAACACCAGTGTGCTCCGGGAGGGTAGTACTGATCCCACTTGCGGATAGAGGGGACGTGGAAGGGAAAGAGTACGTAGGCGTGACGGGAGACCAGGTGGTCGGACTGGAAGGGGCCAATAGTGATGCAATAGAATGAGTGCTGACCCCAAGAAGACTTGTTCCATGAGTTGGAGCGGTTGGATGTCTAGTAGAGAGAGAGAATATGGCAGAAAAGGTTATGGGATATAAGGCCGGTCGTTCGGTAGTGTCGACAGGCCGTTCGGGGAGGCGGTCCCAAGAAGGCGCTTGCGAATTGGATGGTCGCGCTCCAGTGAATGCACTAGGAACATCCGAGACGGACGATGCTTGCGGACCGCCGACAGCAGAGGGAACTCTTGAGTCGTAGCGAATTCCTCCTCTTTGCAACGCCGCGGGGCCAGCCATACTATGACGTCTCATGTCTAATGCATCACCCATAAGGTCCCGCATATG